GTATCCACGGACCTATTCTCCCGCGAGTCAGTGCTCTATCTTAAGAGGAGAGTCTTTGTAGTCAGTGTGAATTTTTACATAGCTACTAGTACTAATACGTTCACCCGCCCTAGAAGGACTGAGACCAGTAGCACATCCCAGGTCCTCCTGTACTACGTGGAGAGCTCATTCACTTCATGACTAGTATCAGCGTCATCACCGATGAGTTCGTATACGAGGAGCGTGGTCATACCGAGTGGTTCACTGAGGGTCTATATATGAGTGTTGAGAGTCATGCATTCCAGGGATAGCTGAGACCTTCTGCGTGAATTATAATCAGTTACTTGATAGGATACGGACTAAGTAAGTTTATCTCAGCTCTCTTGTGGCGTTGGAGATAGGCGTTTTGGCGTGTGAATTTTTATAGGTGAGACCGTATAATATCGAGAATCATATAATAATCAAAATACTTGAAATATTGAGTTGTATATATGAAATATTCTAGTGTAATTATCATTTCAAAAAGAAAGAAACCCATACTAAAAATAACCCAACACTTCTTCATATAGGAATAGACAAAACCGCCAGGAAGCATAGGTATGTAAGTAAAGATAATTGGAGTACGATACGCGAAGGACAGTTTTGATGCTACTAAGATCAGCAACAAAATCTATGATCCCTCGTACAAACAAGATAATATAGAAGAAAATGAAACAAAGGAATAAAATACGCGGATATTCTGGACCTATATATATATCCGAGCTATGTTTGAGTAGAGGTAATTAGGATCTATGCCTACTACCATAATTATAACTGCTCACTACGCCTATTAACACCTCCACTTTATCCATCCTCCATATATATACCGCTATCGCCCACCGAGCATTATACCTCCTTACACCTCCTCCTTCATTTCTTAACATTACTATCACTTGATTCACTCCTCTCCCAATTAATGACTACTTACTCATTATCTCCTATCTTCTTCCTTCCCCCGAACATACCTAGCATCATCCTAAAGAACACGGCACACAATGTATGTATACTACAGCCCTTACCCCCCCGCTGCGGTCTCTCCCTATCCGCTCTCAATATCATCTCTTAATATACTTCCTATTCCACCCTCTCCCTACTCCACCACCCCCCGCCGTGGGTGTGAGAGCCGGAGAAAAACCGCGGCCCGGCGCCCGAAGCGGCGCCGCGACACCCGGGTGCAGCGAGCTCACAGCGAGAGGAGCGAGGCGAGAGACGAACACACACGAGAGACTAGTTTTTTCCTTGTGCTTCTACTCTTGCCCATTTAAGCTTCTGCCTATACTGAGGACATTCCGTTGGTTGTGGCTTGTACTGTGTGGCTGTGTGGTGTTAGCATTGCGCTAACTGAGGAGTTGAGTTAGAGGAGCTGGTGGAGTGATATTCACTATGCGCAGTAGCTAATGACTAGGGGTCCCTTGCAGCGTCACCCCACAGGGTCAGAGAGTATTAGCGACATGCAGTCGTTCTTACCCTTGCCGTTTGCTCCGTTCCACCGTTATTTGGGCTATTTTTATATCTTCGTTAATCGATATACTAGGAGTTTATTTTTAATCAAATTCACATAATCAATTAAATCATTATTATCTGTCAATTATTATTCTAGTTTATATTTAGTTAATTATATCCATTTACAATCATCTCTTAATTCACTACTAATTCATTATTCATTACTGTCATCAAATATTACATTATCATATATACATTCTTAGTCATCATGCCTAAACAACCATCCATCATCATCATGCCTTATTATTATCAATTATTATTATTATCACTTTAAAGCTAAATAATTGGTTTCATAGTCTTGTTATTATCACAATTATCATTATTATGGCCCACACCACTAATTCACACTCCCTTCTCCAACACTTCAATCATCCACATCATCTTCATCTCCTTTCAATGTTTCTTTGTTCCACATCTTACAACTATCCATCCGTTTATCTCATCATCTTCACTATCTACTTCTAATCCACCTATTCATCAACAAAATTTACATTCTGCCTTTCCATTTTAAATTCCTTTTTTTCTTACCACTGAAATTATTCGTTTAGAATAAAAGAATCATATCTAATATATAACGGCAATACAGTTAAATCTTCTCAACATATTTAGTATAAGAATGAAGTGCAACCAGTATATATATAAAGGGAGAGAAATGCCATAATTGGCAAGGAGGTAGGAGGAGGAAGAGAAGGAAGAGGAGGAAGGATCAGAGAAGGAAAAAGAGGAAGAGGTAAGGAGTGAAGTAGGAAGAGTAGGAGGGGAGTAGAGTATCGGGATGGAATTATATCAAGTAAAGTATAGAAAGGAAGAGAGAGAGGAGAGAGGAGAGAGAAGAGGAGAGAGAGGAGAGGAGAGGAGGGAGAAGAGGGAGGTAGACGAGAAGTAGGCCCAGACAAACAAGGAGGACGGATTACGTGAAAAAGAATAAAGAGATTTTACCGACGCACCTATCAATAAACCAAGAAAGTAAAAGGTACCCACCGAATGATGCCCGCCAGCGTAGACCCTCACCGGATTATCCGCGTAGGATAGAAAAGTGCATAATCTTTGGCTGCAGAGGACTACGTATGAATGGAAGGGGACAGAGAAAGCCGAGAAGAGAGAGGATGATGAGAAAGATGTACATGGAATAAGAAGCGTAAAGAAAAGAGAGATAAGAGGAAAATAGGCAACCGCAGACGGAATATAAAAGACAAAAGGAGAAAAAAACCTTGACGTGCAGGAGGAGACGCCTGAACCTAAATAGAAGAAAGAAAGAGAAGTGCAGAAGAAGGATAAACGGAGCGAGGATATAGAAATACAGGAGAAGACGCCGATACGAAAAGGAAGAAAGTAGGAAAAAGGGTAAAGAGGAACAGCGAGAAGAGGTAAAGTAGGATGTATGAAGTAAAACCGAAGGAACGCGAGCGAACGAGAAGTAAGTAAAGATGAGGAATAGGAAGGTGCTGGAAATGGCTCGAGAGGAGAAATAGGAGAAAGGAGAGAGAAGAATACCGAGGAGACAGAGCAAGGAAACGAGAGATGTAGGAGACCGCAAGAGGAGATAGGAGAGAGAGCGACGAGGAGAAAGAGAGGCACAAGAGGGGAAAATATCAGATCCATAGAGAAGTCAGACTAAAAGAAGTAATAATACGGAAAGCAGGGATACTCTGAACACGAGGGGACGAATAAGAAGAGTGAGAGACAGAGAAACGAGCTGGGCAGACAGGAATCTATGTGCACTCGGATTTGGAAGATAAGATCGATGGAAGAACGTGAGAGAGGAACAGTAGCGGTTTTGTTGTATTTATTTCGATACTATATACTGAGCTCAGACCGAACTAGCATTTATATGCTGACACATAAATGGATGACAGTATGAGGATAGAGAATAGGGCGATTGACGGTACGAGTATGAATAATAATGACTGATACGAGCATGATCCATGCGTAAGCACGCACGAGCATCTCTACGTCACGCACTGCGAGATGCATCAATGACGCACTGCACACAGTACACACGAGCACACAACCAACAACACACAACCAAAATTAAAGACACACCCCAACCAACAATATCAAACGCAAATCACACCATGCACACAAGAAACTACAATGACCGAGCACACAACAACACACGACAAAACACACACACACACAACACAAAATTAAAAAAAAACAAGATTTCTATGAAAATGAAACTAAATAAAGAAAAAACACACACAAAAAAAGAAAAACTGTAAAGAAATCAATAAGAGCAGATAATAAAAAAAACACATCACACTTTACACGCGCTTGGCCTAGCAACCGCGTCTCAAAAGAAATTATTGTCTCAATACATCGCATCTGATCGATGGCGGGGCGCGAAGGAAGCCGCAATTACATTAGTTTCCCTTTCGCTTCGCAGGTGATAAGAACACAGAGGACCTTAGGTGACGTCACAGATTTGGGTTTAAAAATTTACAATCGTTTATTCCAAGTCATATCGCCCTTTTCACAAGATTCTGCGAGGTTCATAAGGGGAGATGTGTAGCTGTTTGATGCCCGAGGAATCGCCGGCCTCAAATTGGTCTTACCCTCACATTGACGCACAGCCATAATGTCGGGTATGGAAGATGAAGGTATTTGACAATCTTGGCTGAGGGACTGGGGGTGGAATTCGTGGGGGCGGCGGAGTTTAATTAGCGCTTGGTGGAGGGAAAGAATCGGACGAGGTAACTCGATAGTTACTTAAGATTTATTTATTCGTGTTTGTATAGCCGGTATCACCTTTCTCCGGTGCCTGCTCCGCTTGGGTGGTTGCTTTTCGTGTTGTGTCGTGGCTGATGTCTCGTGTGCTGTCGCTGCGTTTCGCTTGTGTGCGTGGAACATACTATGAGCATTTTATCATCCTTCAATCATCATTCCTACCCTCATCATTCGCATATCAAACTACCCTTATTTATCTCATATCCATCTTACAATAGACTTACCTGACATACCTTCCCTTTTCGTACATTCTTTTGATCATTCTTCATGCACTCTACACACACTATTCACCTCACCACTACACCACTACACTTTATTCTCATACAGACATCACCACCTGATCTCACTACTTCACAGCAAACTTCCGTATGATCTTCATGATCACCTCTTCGCGCTATATCCTGAACCACCCAGCTTATCTTCACATCTCTCTGTATTAGATTACACCTTATATAGATACCTGCTCTGCACACAAAACACTATCTAGATATGCACTCATTAACAATCGCTCAACGCCAACACAGAATCACGACCGTACACACCAACGCACTCACAAACAACAGCTACAGTACATCACACACATCTTAGCCGCACACACACACAGCACACACACACACACACACACACACACACACACACACACTACCCAGCAACACACATCTATGGTGGGCTCTGCTTACAGGATGGCAACATTACCATAAATACAAGCATCGACACACAAGCAACACCACAAGCACGGGCAACGCTACCCACTACACATGCACAACTACTTGGTACATAATTCCGGACCGTGGCCTTCCTTTCACCTCATAATTCCTTGTTTTTCCTGGTCCTGGTTCTTGAAGCAAGCCCGGGAAAAGGACATTTCGCACCAGGAGCGTAATATGCAAGAGTAATTCATCTAGTATAGTGCATTTCTGGTCCTTCGTGAGTGCCGTTTTATGCGCCATGTATGAGTTAAGCTTCAAATATTTAATGGATTGTTGTTTGTTGATTGCATTGTTGATTGATTGTTTGTTTATCTTGTTTAGAGTTCATTTACCCCTTTGTTTGTTCAGCTTTTTGTGGCTGATTTGTTCGATTTTACAGGTGAGTAGTTTCATGTTTGCATCTCTCTGTTCTTGTACGTGTATGCATGTGGATGTGTGTGTAAACTCGGGTGCACAGACAGCATGGAGGCTCCTTATGTATGTACGTACTTTTGCGTCCTTGGAACTGTCATGTGATTGCAAATGAATGTTTTGTGTCCATCGCATCCTCATGACACGGCAGTACGCTCCCTTGACACACTTACTGGACCGGACCCCCGTTGACATAACCTGATATTCTTGTCTTGACACCTTCGCACGCTGGCCGAATGAAGGAGAGGCAAGGGGAAGAAGAATAAAAGGGAGGAGGAGAAGGAGAAAGAGTAGAAGAAGAAGGAGGGAGTAGAAGAGAAGGAGGTGAAGTAAAAGGATAAAGAAAAGGAGAAGGAGAACAAAAACAAGAAGAAAAGAAGAAGAAGAGGAGGAGAAGAAGAGGAAGAAGAAGAAGGAAAAGAAGCAGAAGAAGTAGAAGAAGAAGAAAAAGAAGAAAGGGAGGAAGAGGAGAAGAAGAAGCAGAAGGAGAAAAAGGGAAAATAGAAATGAAAACGATAATGACCTGAGGAAAACGTGGGCTGCGGGCGTGGGAAATGATGGCTAATGCTCGTCTGCGGCCAGCGACGAGAAGGGAGAGGGAGAAGCTAAGAAAGGAAACAGGATGATAAAGTAATGAAAATGAAAGTAAGGATGGAATTGCCTTCACTATACGAGTACTATAACTTTATTTTTTATTAAATGGACCAAAAGAATCACGAAACGTAACGAAAAATTGAATGATAAACAGAGGAAATGAAGCAGACGAGGGAGGGAGGCTTCCGTGAGGCCGCGCGGGAGACCGAAGCCTCGCTGGGGGGGAGGAGGGGGGGGGGTCTTCCCTGGTCGTCCTTTTTGTTCTGTTGTTTCGTCTGCTTTCTGTACTTGCTGTTCTTGTTGTTTTGTATTTGTTTCGTCTGCTTTCTGTACTTGCTGTTCTTGTTGTTTTGTATTTGTTTCGTCTGCTTTCTGTACTTGCTGTTCTTTTGTTTTGTGTTTCGTCTGCTTTCTGTACTTGCTGTTCTTGGTTGTTTGTACTTCTGTTCTTGTGTCTTGTTGTTTTTATTTGTTTCGTCTGCTTTCTGTACTTGCTGTTCTTGTGTTTTGTATTTGTTTCGTCTGCTTTCTGTTTGCTGTTCTTGTTGTTTTGTATTTGTTGTCTGCTTTCTGTACTGTTCTTGTTTGTTTTGTTGTTTCTGTATGTTTGTATTCTGTACTTGCTGTTCTTGTGTTTTGTATCTGGTTTCGTCTGCTTTCTGTACTTGCTGTTCTTGTTTTTGTATTTTGTTTCGTCTGCTTTCTGTACTTGCTGTTCTTGTGTTTTGTATTTGTTCGTCTGCTTTCTGTACTTGCTGTTCTTGTTGTTTTGTATTTGTTCGTCTGCTTTCTGTACTTGCTGTTCTTGGTGTTTGTATTGTTCGTCTGCTTTCTGTACTTGCTGTTCTGTTCGTTGCTTCTGTACTTGCTGTTCTGTTGTTGTATTTGGTTCGTCTGCTTTCTGTATTGTATTTTTTTCTGTACTACTGTACTTGCTGTTCTGTTGTTTTGGTATTTGTTCGGCTTTCTGTACTGCTGTTCTTGTTGTTTTGTATTTTTCGTTTCTGCTTGCTGTCTCTGCTTTCTGTACTGCTGTTCTGTTGTTTTGTATTTGGTTCGTCTGCTTTCTGTACTTGCTGTTCTTGTTTTTTGTATTTGGTTCGTCTGCTTTCTGTACTTTGTTCGTTCTGCTTTCTGTACTTGCTGTTCTTGTTGTTTTGTATTTGGTTGGTCTGCTTTTCTGTACTTGCTGTTCTTGTTGTTTTGTATTTTGTTTCGTCTGCTTTCTGTACTTGCTGTTCTGTTTTTGTATTTGGTTCGTCTGCTTTCTTGTGCTGTTCTTGTTGTGTAATTTGTTCGTCTGCTTTCTGTACTTGCTGTTCTTGTTGTTTTTGTATTTGTTGTCTGCTTTCTGTACTTGCTTTCTGTACTTGCTGTTCTTGTTGTTTTGTATTTGTTTCGTCTGCGTTTTTGTTTCCCTTGCATTTCTCTTTGTTATTGTTTGTGTTTCGTCTGCTTTCCGTGAGGTTTCGCATGGCATTCTTTATTTTTTTCCTACTTTTCTTTCGATCTTGTTTGCTTGGGGTTCCTGATGTGTATTTTTTTTTCTCTCCTTAAATTTCATTTTCCTTTTTTCGTCTTTCTCGTTATTTCTTATTCTCTTTCTCCTTTTCCCTTCATCCTCCTCTGACATTTTCTTCTTACTCTCTCTCTTCTCAGGCCATCTCCCCTCTTCCTTCTCCCTCTGTTCCTTTTCATCCTCTCCTCCTCCATCTCTTCCTCCGTTCTCCCCTTCTCCCTCTCTTTCTCCTTCTCCTTGCTTCTCCCTACAACCTCCCCGTTTCCCCTCTCTTCCTCCACCTCCCTTCCCTTCCTTCTTCCTCCATCCCGTTTCCTTTCTTCTCCCTCCATCTTCCACTTTCCTTCTTCTTCTCCATCTCCCGTTTCCCCCTTCTTTCCCTCCATCTCCCCCTTTCTCCTTCCTTCTTCCTCCTCCCTCTCTCTTCCTCTTGGTCCGCGCCGCAAGAAGGAATTAAGCGCCGAGAAGCAGCCTCGTCCCACGCTCTCCAGCCGAGGATTTCCATTGCTGGGAAGGCGAGCGAGCCGGACGCAGGCAGACAGACAGACACAGAGAGAGTGATGGTCAGCCAGGTAGACAGACAGACACAGAGAGAGTGATGGTCAGCCAGGCAGACAGACAGACACAGAGAAGTGACAGCCAGGCAGACAGACAGACACAGAGAGTGATGGTCAGCCAGGTAGACAGACAGACACAGAGAGAGTGATGATCAGCCAGGTAGACAGACAGACACAGAGAGAGTGATGGTAGAGAGAGTCAGCCAGGCAGACAGACAGAGAGAGTGATGGTCAGCCAGGCAGACAGACAGACACAGAGAGAGTGATGGTCAGCCAGGCAGACAGACAGACACAGAGAGAGTGATGGTCAGCCAGGCAGACAGACAGACACAGAGGTAGACAGACAGACACAGAGAGAGTGATGGTCAGCCAGGTAGACAGACAGACACAGAGAGAGTGATGGTCAGCCAGGTAGACACGTCAGGTAGACAGACACAGAGAGAGTGATGGTCAGCCAGGTAGACAGACACACTTTTTTTCTTCTTCTCTTTAAGTAGACGGACAGACAAACCGAAAGACAGACACATGGACGCCTATTGATACATTAAGCGAGCGACTCACAACAGAATTGATTGAGGGCATTTAAGTAAAAGTGGAAGCGAGAGGCGCCCGCGACCGCACCAACTCGCTCACTATGTTAATCAGTTGAGTGATTGACAGGT